AAAATATTGCAAAATTATCGGCGTCCAATCTGATGTCGGAAGGATTGATGAACACGATGCTTAACTCATGCAAGATTCATGGAGTCTGCAATTTGTTTATCCGGAATACCAATTTAATTAAAACATAATAAAACATCCTCTACGAGAGGGCATTGCTAGGAGAGGATATTTTCAGATTATCTCTCGTCCACAAAAGAGAAAGAGAGTGAGAGAAAGAGAGAGAGAGAGAGAGAAAATTGTTCGCGTACCACTCGCAAATATTGCAACTGTGACGCCGGCATGCAGGTCCGTTCTCCTTTAGCTCTCTGTACCTGCCGATCGACGTTGGCGACGCGTCGATAATTAGTCGTTCCGTAGCTGCAAATGGAACACGGAAGTCGGTAGGTCGCTTCGTGATTCGGAATATATTGAATGTCACTGGGCACACAATTGGATTGCGTGTCTTGTCATGGCTTCACGCGTATTCGCGATAGCATCGAGTCAATTTCTTTTTATACGAATGTATGAGACGAGCGTTCTACGATCGAGCGGCGATATTAAAACTGTCGGGCTCGATATTAAAAGTATCGAGCGAAACATAGAAAAAATTAATCTAATTTCGTTCGAAAAGGGGGAAGAAAGAAGCGGGGGATGAAAAGGAATTACATAAGTTATTCGGCAGCGTGACGGGTGACAGAAATCAAAGTTTATCATAGACATTCAGCTCTTTTTCTTTGTGGATAATAAAGTAGGTTTATCTCGAGCAGAGACTCGATTAAGAAGCTGAGAAACTTACACCGCTAATTCCATTCAATGCGATTCACTCGCGGATATATTTAATATCTTTCAGAAGTAGAAACTGTGCATGAGTGTGTGCCATATGTGTTGCATCACTGGATGCTCCATGCAATCCGAAACACAACATTTCCAGCGTAACATCATTTTGGTCGAGGAATTGCATTTGCGTTTTTTTTTTCATTCGCTACGATTATAAAAAGTCAAATGAGATTTCTTAATGCAAGCATCCTAAGCTCACAGTGCGTGTTTACAGACGCGCATGTTGGAATCGTAATTGCACTAACGAAACGAACGACACATCAAAGCCTCGCCTCGACACGAGTTCTCTGAAATTTCAAAATTATTATTTACTCTGTACGCAACGCAGATCCATATCCCTCGATGATATGGATATTGTGCACACGTACGCTTTACAAACGAGCGTCGCGGCTTCAAAGGCAACTTCGCGATTACCAACGTCTCTTATACTTGCTACGACTCGACTGTAATGACTAAAGGGATCATGTACGCAGAACCATAACGAGGTAGTTTACGTGTATTTCCGGTCTACGTCGGATAAATTGTGCGTTCAATGAGCCGCGGGTTCGCCGCGACGCGAGCTTCCGGGACGCAAAGAAATTTGATACTGAAATTTGACGAGATAATGTAGGCTGGTAATTAAAAACATCCCCGTTACGTCACGGCGGATCGTGTGCCCGATAGAGACGTGACGGTTCGTCATTTTAATCCGGTGCAGCCAAATTCTGACATCGCGCGATCGTTCCTCGGTGCTTTGTTGGAAATGTCTCGTCAGAGCGATTGCAAAGAAAAATAATTCACCGTGACATAATCGGGGGTAAATCAAGAACGTTATTTAGTTGAAAATATTTTTCCAAGAAGTTCATTTTCGTGCTTTCATTCTCTTACGTGCGACATTCGTGTCACAAATGATAAAAGAAACACGTTTTTCTCGCTCGCGATTCATAGCCTTCCAACTTCAGAAACTTCTTACAGAGCGTATATTTCATCAGACTGCCAGTATTGATATAAACAAATTTAAAATTTTTATCGACCTCAGCTTCTTACAGAGAGTCTAATAAGGTCCTCTATTATGAGATAGGATCCTAATATGGGATAGCGGGGTTTCTGCTAAATTAATAATCGTCAGTTGATTCCATCATGAATTTGTTGCCCTTCTCTGGGAAAACAAAATTTGCAACCTAAAAATCGCAATCAACTGTTCCATCTGTATCCAAGATTTTTAAGTAATACTAATCAATTCTCTCAATTAGTTCTGTCGATATTCAGTAACGCAAATATAATGTTCACTTAAGAGGCACTAACCGAAACGTTACGTTGCTGGACTACAAAAAAACGGTCAAAATTTTTCCCAGAATAGAGTTACGAACAATCCAAATAATTGGATTGCTAATTGTGGGCCCCAAAATGGGTTGCTTAACTGTCTTTTTTTCCCCCCAGAGTTGGAGCGAAATCTGTTTAGTGGAAAATTCATTGTTAAACTGTGTAATCGACGCGAAACAAGATTTGTCGTTGAATTTGGGTGTTGAAAAGCCGCTATCTCATATTAAAAATCTGTCTCTTAATAGAGGATTTCCTCTAGTAATGACGAGACGCGGCCAGTGGAAAGGAAGTGATTTTCGAATTAGACATCGGTATCAGAGTCATCGCTGAAAGAAAAATGCGGTAAAAGGATCGGTATTGGAAGTGGGAATGGCGTTCGCGAGAAACCAATAGCACTCATCGAAATGTCAAGCTCTTTTGCAACGCTCGAACGGACGTGTATGTACGCGCGCAGTTTCAGATTCGCGCTCGTTAACCTGGTCATCTTTCTCGTGCCTGACGGCAGAAAAAATATAGCGATAGGACCAGATACGTTTCGCGTTCTAACACCATGTTTCCTGCATCCGGCGTCCCATTAAGCCGTATTGCCTTCCGTCCTCTTTCCTATCGTGTGTTTTTTTTATTACGCTACCAAATCCTTTTATCTAAGTGTCGAGAGATATATCGGGATTTAAAATACAAAAAATGAATGATTACGAGCTTTCCATTTTTCCCCCCTTTCTACTAACCAAAAACTAAAAGGATTTTCCGTTTATAATCCTCTTATAAATTTTTTCTTCTCCAAATGTCAGGACGAGAATTGTTTTAAATATTTTTCGCGGTTTTCGGAAATTTAAAATGATTTCTGGTCCGATTTTTCTTCTCCGCGAAGCAAATATCACCCCTCGCGAAATACATTTAAGAGAGCAACGCGAGCCTTCATATTTCTCCCCCATCTGAGGGTCCCTCCCCCCTTTGAAAGCTGTTCTTCTTCCAACCTCCGTCGCGATGTTCGAAAGCACCGTTCCGCGTCTTGCCAATTTTTTTCCGGGCCGATGTTTTCATCGCGCGACCGCGACGCGGAACCGCCGGCAAAAATTCCTTACGCCGTAACTCACCACACGTCTGCGTCGTGCAATACGCCGCCCGTAACTTACGCCGGCTGGCCGCGATCGTAAAAGTAACGAGTTCGGGGGGAGGTCAAGTGCGTTGTTATGCCGGGGGGGGGGGGGCGAATGACCCGAAATGCGCGCGGCAGGCGGTTAAGACGTTGGCGCGGTCTCGCGGTGCAATGAGCGCGATTAAATGGCGCTTCTCTATTTTGTAAACGCCATAGATTCCCCCGCGAATTTACGAGACGTCCGATCAGAATCTACCCCCCGCCTCGAGCTCGGGGGGGGTAGATTCCCGTTGCGCCCCGTTGCACGTGCGCGGGCGCATACTGGCATTTGATCGTATCTCACGATAACATACTGCATATAATTCGAATAGTGTATTTGCCAGAAACTACAGATACGCAATGCGCATGTATTTTGCGTGATTATGCATTTTGGAGAGATGCGTGGATATTTGATTCGGTAGACGCACCGCGAATATACCGATCCGCGGGGTTTGCGATTTATGCGAGTATCCACATTAGAAATTCAGGATCTATTACAACGTATAAAACGTATGAATATTTCATATCTCGAACGACTACTTTCCTCCGTTTTCAACGTGGTCCATTTCTTAAATGGTATAAACAGTCGATCGATATTAGAGGAAACAGAAATTACGAGCGCCCAGGTGAATAGTAGAATGGAGACAAACGCGATGTCTATTTAAAGGGACAGATCTTGCAAGCGTTACGTTTCATATAAAAAAAATAGTGGATTATTTGAATCTTTTGTATGAACCTTTCGCATAAAATTTTCATCCCTCTAACCTTCTTGCACCGTTATATAATTTAAAGCGAGATATATAGAGAAAAGTCCCCTGTTACACGATAGACTTTCAAAGTGAGATAGCAGGTTCTCAACGTCCAAATCCAATGACCAATCTTTTTTCGCAACGATTACGCGATCTAACAGTGGATTTTCGACTCGACGGATTTCACTTCGAGAGCAATAAATTCATGGTGAAATCAATAAGGCCCGGTTTCACCGACGTTGTTTAACTTTGAGCTTAGTTTAATTCGTTCCTTGTGTCTCTTTCCAACTGTTACTTTAGAAAGAGACAAACGTGAATCAAACCAAGATCGAAGTTAAGCGACGCTTTGTGAAACCAGGCCTAAGGTCCAGTTTTACAAACGTCGGTTAACTGTTAACCAGAGTTCAGTCGACTTCCTATCTTTCTCTATCTTGTTATCCAAGAAGAGACAGAGGATCAATTAACCATGGGTTAGCGGCTAAACGACGTTTGTGAAACCGGCCCTAAATGATTCTGACGGGAACCCTCGCTATCTCATATTAGGGGACTCGCGCCTCGTAATAGGGGACTTCGGTCTAGCAGTATATGGAAATGTTCATAAAACGACTTGAAAAACGTATTACAATTTCGATATCGCGGTAACATCGACTCGCATACATATGTATGACGCCGCGACTGCATACGATGCATTATGACGCGATTAAATTTTGTCGTTGCCAAAAATATGAGGCGGGTCAAATCGAACAATCTACGACACTCTCTATAACTTAGAGGCATTGCCCGTAGACAGGCGATATTTCACACTGCGCGAGAAACCGCAGACTGAACAGAGGCTGCCAATGAATTACGACATGGTCTATGTAACGCGCAATCGTGCGTATGTAATTTTCGGAAGACACACACAGCGACGAGTGGCAACGCGAGCCTATGTCGAATATAGCGTAGCGCGCATATAAGCGTTTCCTATAATTTAATTAAACGCCCGTGGGTTTCAGGACTACTCAGGCTGCAGCAGATTTATCAGGGGTTGAAACCAGGCAACGAGTCCTTTCAAGTCGAAACCGTCAAGAGAATACAGAACATGTCAGAGGCGATCGATTTTCTGCGCAGCCTGGAGGAGCTTAATCGGTGAGTTCTTCTTTTTCTTTTTTCATTCAAGCGTACAATACGCACAAATAAAACGCACACTGCTTCTCACTGGAAACCGGTGTTACGAAACTAGTATTCGAAACTTGATACTCGAAAGTATAAATGCTAAGAGCTTTTCTATGGTTGTATAGAGAAAAATCCCCGATTATGGGATAGACTCCTAATATGAGATAGAGGAGTTTCGGCTAAATTAATAGGCATCGTCTGTTGGTTCCACCATGACCTTATTGCCCTCGGAGTGAAATCTCTATTTAGGGAAAATTGATTGTTAGATCGTGTAATCGTTGCGAAAACAGATTTGCGATGTGAATTTGAACGTTGAAAACTTACTGTCTCATGCTAGAATCTTTTCTCACAACAGAGGACTTTCCTCTATATACATGGTGCAATTTGTTCCGAGATATTATGCAGGAAAATATAAGTATAAGCTTAAAAATTAATTCCAATTTAACTGATATTTACAAGCACATTCAACAGGCATGCAAATGTATAAAAATAAAATTTGAGAGCATATCATAATAATGAGCGGTGTCGCAGCCTGTAACGATTAAAACGATTTCGCTTACATTCGATTAAAAAATTCTAGTAAAAAGATAAAAACTGAAATAACAAAATGTAATAAAGATGCTTGTTAACGGCAAAAGGTATGTCGATTATCGGTCTAAGTCAGTTGATTCCAACGGAAAATTACAAGATCGACAAATGATCGGGCGCAGTTCACCAAGTTGCTACAAAGCATAAAAAAATTCCCAGAGAAATGTTAGGCTACCAAAAAGCAGTCTGGCGGAAAATGACGGCTTTTCTAATTACTTGTACAATCCATACTGACCCAGTTTCGCTTATTATTAATTAAAATGTTGCGGAGTGATGGGTTTTAAGTTTTTTAATTTGTTCCCAATAGAAATGGAAAGGAGCGCAGCTGTTGCAACACTAATTTTATTTCCGTGCCCGCGGCTATGATTTAGTGCGACTGTCATTTTCTTGCAAAATGGCATATCAACGGTGTGACGGATAAGGCTGGTCGCGGCACAAGTTGGCATACTCGCACTGCAATTCACCAGCGGCCACGCATTTGCGCGATGCAAGTAATCAACAACAGCGAGTAATTGCCATCGCGGTAGTTTGAATTGGCCGGGCGTGGTAGTTACCGAAAACAACGGCGTTATTGCAAATTGCCATACAATATCCAATTATTACAAACGAAATGAGCGCGGAAACTCCGCGGTGCATCGATCAAACGTGACAAAGCCGCGCGTTAGCGCGGCGCGCGAATTGCGGCGAGCCGGCGCGCGAGACTTATGTCGCTCTTCCCGCGGGAAATTCGCGAATCTTTTCTCCGTGTGGACAACTAATCCCCATAAACGTCATTAAAATGTTGCAGATGGAGTAACAAATACGTGGTTCTCGATTGCCCGACGGACATGGCGAAGGATATTGTTGTGAGTCATGTGAGAGACGTAGCATTGGGAAAGAGGACGTATCACTATCTGCTGAGTGGTTTGGTGAGTCGAACAGAGAAAATAGAACTTAACTAATTGCAACCGTACACTACCAAATCTCGTTGTACTATCTCGTAGTCAATTTTCCGAAATATCGTGGAAAATCTTTTTTCTATAAATTGTTCGCTTCGAGTGTCTTCTCCAAATGCCATGTAAATACGAAGAGTAATTATTTAGCCAGAATTAATATTTTAATAAAACCCGAATTACGCTTTTTCCTTAACATAATTGTATCGCGAAAGAAAAGGAGGAGATAAATATTAAAACTTGGGCTGTTTATTTCAAACTAACATTATATTATTGAAATGTATATATTTGTATGTTTCACAGTAAAGTTAGTCTAAAATGAAAGTATTATTTTGCAATTAGTCAGATATTTCCCCCTTTTCATTTAAATATCGGCGACTTTCATTCCCGAGCTTTTCCAGCCGGGAAATTCGGTATGCAAAACAGTGACTTTCGCTTTACTGCGCGAAAGTGCTCTCACTTGTACACCGTCTGCGTTATAACAGGATGGCGGGATTAATTCGCAGCATGGCGAAATTTTCGAAACAAGCGAGAACCGTCGCTCAAACTGACACGAAACGCCCTGCCGTGGGGGGCAAGATCTTCGCCGGTGATGTCTCCGCCGTACTTTAGAATTTAGAGGACAGTTTGCTTGTGTTTAGCGGCTTCCAGCGAGTTGCTGCGGAAGAGCAGGCGGCATTACACTCCGGCGACGTAGAAGATAGTTGTACATACCTACATCTAGTTTCGTCTCCCTACGAGGCACGCCATTGTCATTTATCGCGTCATTCTCGAAACGGTTGCGCGACCGGAGCGCAGACGTGTTGATTCGCACATTTTCCCGCTTTCCGCCATTCGCGTCCCTCGCCTCTTACTTCTTCTTTTCCGAGACGGCCATCCACCTGAGAATTCAACGACCGGAGGGACAATTGTCTACGTGTTAACTCGACGGAGAAAGAGAGAGAGGCGCCTTAAATAATTTCATCTCTCGCATCAATACCCGGCGATATTTACAAATTCGCAAAAATCCCGGCCTCCTTAACGCCAAGTTCCTCGGTAGAAACGCGAATATAAATACGAACCTAATAGCTGTTGGACAAGCAGCAATGCCGGATATTACAAAACTTTATCCGCTCCTCTGACCGCAAATGTAAAAGTTGAAAAGTCAACGTTGCAACGGCGGACGGGATGATATCAGACCGGCAAATTAAACTGGTAACGCGGCGAACTCGTTCGCGACCAAGTTAAACACGCATACAGCGTTAACAGCGTCCATGTATTATCTCCAGCCGGTTGATGGATGATGGTGGATGGCCGGGCGCAAGTAGTAAAGTAGCGGACGGATCAGCCGCGAGCTGCGAGACGCGAAATCTAATAATAACACTTAATAATAACACATTGCAATTAGATACCGGGTATTATTAGTTCAATTTTAAGCGGGACCATTGTTAGCTGCCGCCCTCGAAAGCCTCTTCCGGTGGCCAGCACCGCCCGCTATTTCCGGCACCCTCGAACAAACCTGCTCTCTCCATACTTCGCTCGTTAGTTTAACGATCGCGAAAATATAAGTAATCGCAATTTTAATTGGACTTATCGTTTTGCGAGCGTAATACACGTTTACGGCCCCGCGCAGACGTTATCAATTCCCGCTCCTCTCGCCTCCCTCGCCTGCTGCTCTCGTTCCGTTCGGAAGAACTGCCGCGCGTTAGCGCCAACGACGAGCTTTTCACTGTTTCGAGGTTTCGCCGCGCATAATACGCAGTAACAACGCAATATCCGCGTAAAACTGGAAACGGTAGTTGCATTCGAGCTCGAGTAATTAAATACGGCGGATCTAAGTTGGAATCGAGACGCGTCAGTCCTATTACGTTTTTCACGAGGGAACAAAGGGAACGCGGTAATAACGCGCCGTAATAATATTACAGTGACTCGAGTGCCCGTCCTCGAGTCGACTTTAAAGACGCGACGGAAGATCAAGGGCCTCGTTGTCAGGCGGACGCTTTTCGCGAGACTACAGGCCGTCCTTTTAGAACGCCGAAACGGAGACTGCGAGAGACCGGGCGGAGAGAGGCGGGGCGGCAGCCTTTGTCATCTCGCTGAACCCCCCCTGCGTTCCCCACGTGTACCAATACCCCCGTATATTTCGCTGTAATCAGATAATGGACGACCGATGGGAGAGCGAGGTGATCGAGTACGGCGCCATCAACATCACGGGCTTTCGCATCGTGGACGTCACTCGACCTCACGTCAAGGATTTCCTGGGCGCCTGGCATCGCCTGGATCCGGTCCAGTCTCAAGGCGCCGGTCGTGAATCCATTTCCGTACGTATACGTTCACGTATCACCGGCGCTTCCCCCGCGAGACCCCGTCGTCACTTTTTCTCACGCCTGTCCTCCGTCGTCGTCGTCGTCGGCGACGGCCTCTCCGCGGCTTGGCGTTTCCAGAGGGGAAACCACCCTCCGTGCGAAATCCTTGGAATGTGCCTCCCGAGTGCGGCGATTCCCTCCCGGTGGATCGAACGCTTCCTTAAATTTCTTCGGACGGCGACGGGCGACGACGGCAACAGCACGGAAGTTTCGCACGAGAAACGGGGAATCAAACAAGAATCGTCGCGGATCTCCGTTCGCACCGCGCGCGATCTCTGTGTGCGCGGCGGCTTGAGACCAAACTTGTTAAACAGCACCCGCATGTAGAAACTTGGACTTTTCAGCGCGCTTATAAAGTGCCGCTCGCTCGACCGTGCCTTGCCCGCGCGGACCGTGTTTCGCCTTCCTCTTAATGACCTCTCCTTCGTCCGCGCGTTAACATTTTTTCCCCCCCAGGGTTCTTACACGAATCCGACAAAAACTGGCTCGTGTTTAACGATGCGCGACAACGCAGTTTTCTGGTGCTACCGCACTGTTCCATAAAACACCTCGGACAATTTTTTTTTCGGCAATCGATAGTAACGTTGACATTTAAACTTCAATTAGACCGAAATGAACTGCTGAGTTAAATGCGTTTAGCGAGAGATTAAATTATCATCGAGATAAAACAGATTTCAATATTTATTTATTTTCACGTATTTGTTTAAAGATATTGACGCAATTATTAAAAAATTATGCATCGATCTATGATTTTTTGTAATTAAAAATGAGCTTTTAAAATTATTGCCACATTTCGCCAACGAAAAAAAAACATACCGTCTCCATAAAACGCTCATTATCATATATTTATTTGTTAATTGCATTTCGAGACACGCGAAGTCTGCTCCGTCATTTTGTGCTCCATCATTTTGCATGATTTTCGTTGTGCCGCAAGAAGCGGCGAATATAATCCCGAAAATGGATACACTACTAACGGGATTTCGGGGCAAAGTTGTGTGGGACACTATCTATATGGATCTGAAAGCTCTCTCGGAGACAGGCCGCATGCAATCTAATGCAACGATTATCGTGCCCGATCGTTATATTCAGCGAGCACCAAACGTGGTTTTCCAACACTGGCGAAGTGCCCGAGGTACTCTTGTCTCTGTGAATTTACGTACGCCACAACGTGACGACGAATCCCTCTCTCGTACTCGCGAAATTCTTGATCCTATCGAGGGATAGAGTCTGCCACAAGAACGTAGAAATCGGAGGGATCTTTCCGCTCGATTCTCGCCGTCCGAAAATCGGCGCGTCGCGACGAATGGCAAGAGGGATGAAAGTGAAAAAGAAATTGATTTCTTGCATTTGTATCTGGAAAAACGCGCGATTTAATTCATTGCGATGGAAATTAGGCGCAAGCCGCCCTGATGTACGACGCCGTGTTCGTCCTGGTAGAAGCCTTCAACAAGTATCTGAGAAAGAGGACCGACAAAAATAATATGAGACGAGTAACAACGAGCAATAATCAACCCATAAACGGAACGAAGCCCCTGGACTGCTACCACAATCGCGGCTGGGTCACTCCGTGGGAGCACGGCGATAAAATCTCCAGGCTTTTAAGAAAGGTAAATAAATATTCCATTGTATAGCAAAAAGAACACACGCGACATTTCTAGAATTACTACAAGTTCCAACGTGTAAACGTATTGTCATCTATTAATTTTGATCCATAATCTTACGCATGAATTGTGCATCATTTGACATTGCGTATTGAATAAAGTAAATAGCGTTAATTGACGCACGTTAAATTTTACATTTCTATCGTCAATTTTTCATCCGGTGGATGTTTATTATTACAAACACGTCGTTCAAATGTATAGTTCAATAATACGCGCGACAACACGTGATCGCATTGGCCGCAGACACAGGTAATTTATTTTCAAATTCCCGAGACGCGATCCAGAGGACACGGGTACTCAATGTGTTGCGAAATACCGTGGCGACCGAAATTGCCACGGACCCTCCTCGACGTATCTCTGCTCTTGACAGTAATTGGCGGTTATTCCGACTCTAGCGGAATTCCTGCGTTCGCGTCAAATAGTCCTCCGTCATTCCGCCCTTACGTGTACATGCCGTTACTCTCGTAACTTTTTTTGCCTTTTAATCCGCTACCGTTTGACAATTTAACAATTTATCATGTCAAGATTGAACTCGCGGGCACCGAAAAAAATATAGCGATAGA